GGCGACTGGACGCGCGCGGCAGGGCCGAGGCTGTGCGTTCGACCACGTGGGCGCCGGTGCACCAGAGGGTCTGCGTCCCGGGGCGCGTCCGCCGCGGATGGGCGTCCCTGGAGGGCTGTGTGGGGGGCGTGTGTGTGTGCGGGGGGAGTGGTCCACCTTCGCCGGCCTGATTCCACGCGGCCCAACTCGTTCGTGCGTTCATTCATTCAGCAGCCTATTAACTGAGTGCCAATTACGCGCCAGACACTGCAAATACGAGTGGGTCTCCACCCACCAGGACGGCTAAAGTGAAAAAGACCATACCGACTGCAGGCGAGAAAGTAGAGCGACTGAACCTCGCTTAGATTTCTCGGGGAGTGTAAATTGGTAGAGACATTTTGGAAACCTGGCAGTCTTCTAGTGAAGCTGAGCATATGCCAACCCTATGATCCAGCAGTTCCACTCCCTAGGTCGTCAACACCCAACAGAAATGCGTAGGTGTGAGCACCAAGAGAGTGTACTGGAACGTTCACAGCACTTTCATAATAGCCCCAAGCTGGAAATAACCCATCAGCAGAATGGAAAGTGAATTATGCCTGTTCATTACCATGGACATAGGCACCGCAACAAGAATGACTGCTGTCCGGCTACACCCGACAACATAGGCAAGCCTCACGAACAAATCTTGAGTGAAAGAAGCCAGATAAAAGAGTGCACACTATGTGATTCCGTTTATATGAAGTTCAAAACCAGACAAAACTAATTTATAGTGTGAGAAGTCAGGATAGTGATCACCGTCAGGGCTGGGATAGGAGGGGGCTTCTGGGAGCTAGTCATGTTCCGTTTCATAATCTGGTGCTAGTTTCCTGGGCATACACTGAGAAAATCCACCAAGCTGTACACTTACAATGTGTACACTTTTCCATATGTGTATTATTGAGAGAAAATGAGTGGGTCTTAGCTGGTTTTATCTGAGGCTGGTTTGTCAGCATGTCTAAATTTGTGCTGCTATGCATGTGTGTGTTTCAAGGTGTAGCTCTTGTATGTGTTTGGGTGTAACCATATCCAGATGTTAAGGTGATCAAGGGGTTAGAAATCTGGTTATGACCGCATTTCCTGAGCCAAGCTGCTGAGGTATAATCCTAGCTGTTCCATACCCTGGAACGGCTGTGTGACAAGTCACTTATCTCTATTCCTTCATCTATAACATGGGAGTAAGTTAATATGTGTGAAGCTCACAGAACAGTACCCACAGTCTGTGGCCCTACCAATGGTCTGGCTCAGTTGCATCTGCTGTGCCCTCTACCGGTTAATCTCTTTGTTCTTTTATTCTGGCAGTTGTCTGCTCATGGCAACATCCTCACAGACACACTGGCCTCCTTCCCAATCCTTCGCTCACCAACCCCATTACCTTCTTTGTCTATGGGCTTTCCTTTTAGACTGTGAGCCCCTCGGAGGGCCAGAAACCAAGTATGGATCATCTCTGTCCCAGAGCCCAGGACAAAGTAGACGCTTGAGAACCATTGCGAGGATGTGTGTACAGTCATTTCCGTCTACACCAGGTAAATAGGGTTGATGTGTGGGTGTAACCTCCCATGCAGGTCTCTGAAGCTTGTCACCATGTGGAAATGAGTGTCTCTACACATTAACCCTTCAGTAAATGGGTGTGTGTCAGCAGGGCTCTGTTGCTGAGCCTGGAAAGGTGAGGTGAGGTGGTGTGTCTGACTCCCTCCTTGTAGGTGTAACAATGAGAGTGGAAGCCATCTAAGTAGGCCAGGAGGCGTATGTCTGGACAGGTGTGCCCCAAGCTTGAGGGCCTCCACCTTGGCCTCTCACCACTCCCCAGTCAAGAGGGAGGGCCTGTATATTCCAGCCCTGCCAGCCCCATAGTTTCTCTCTCCTGTCTCCCCAGCTTTCCCCCAAAAGCAGCCCTAGCGACAAGCCGTGCGTCAGGTCAGAGTCCGAGCCTCCTCCCCTCAGCAGGACACTGGGCTGCTTCCCAGACCCCGACACCCCCAGCCCCGAGGTCAGTCCACTATGCTGGCAACTCGCCTCCCTCCTCGGGCCCCTTCCCCCATTAGTCCCCGCAGGCGGGGAGCTGAGCTCAGGGCCAAGGAATCCTGTCTGAAAGGGGGGGTAGTAAAATGTTTGGGGTCTGAGCTCTGATTGGCTGAGCCCGGGCCACGCCCCAGCCCTTTCCCTCTTCTCCCCCCCTCGAAAGGGGGGCGTGGAGGGAACCGGGATCAGCCAGGGGCCAGCATGAGCCAGAGGGAGGGCAGTCTGGGTAAGGGGCTGAGGGACTGAACGCTGGGTCCCCAAGGGGAGCAGGAGTCAGCAGAGTTGGAAGCTGGGGTCTGGGTCTCCGCCACCCCTTGGTCCGGGAGGGGAGCGGCCTAGGCGGGGAAGAGCAGGGCTCCGGTGTCAGGTAACGAGCGGGTGAGTTGTGAGAAGGGGCAGGCGCAGGGAGTTAGAAGACGCCTGGGGCTGAGGCTTCAGTGGCCTGGGTTTGGAGGTTAGAACAGCGATTCGAGTACACCCTGAGGGAGGACAGGGGACGGGGCTGGGGCAGGACTCCTGGGTTACTCAGAGTACGGGGAAAAAGGACCACAGCAGGGGCCGGAGGGAGGGGGAGAGTTAGGAAAGGGAGTCTTTGAGCCACGGAGTTAGTGAGTGACAACAAGAGGAGAAAATCAGGGCTGCTGAGGATCGGGACTGGTGGTGGGAAACTCAGGCGAGGGGTGGGGCGGGAGTTGCCGGGCCAGGACTACATTCCCCAGCATGCCTTGGGCGAGCGCTGTGCCTGTCGGGAAGTGTAGTCCCTCCTGGGGCGCCACACTCTGGCTTGTGCCAGGGCAGGCTGGACGTTGATTCGTCGATGCTGCCGAGCCCAGCGCCTTGCATAGAAGGGACATCAAGGAGAGACTAGGATTTCAGTCTCCCTAATTGCAAAGTAGGCCTTAAAGGCACATTCCGATTTGAAGTTCTGTGCCTCAATGATGTTGAATTCCACTAATAGTCACTGAGGTACAGAGATATGTGAGCCCTGTTCTCAAAGGGCTCTCAGGCTAAGGCAGATACACATAGAAAAGAGTCATTAAAAGAGCTTCCTTGGAAGTATGAACAAATGGCTTTAAGACAAAGACAGAACTTTATGTAAAAGGGTGATTCTGAAGGCTGCACTGAGGAGGCAGCAGAGTCATGCGCCACATAAATTTCGGTCAACAGATGGACTACGTATACAACAATGATCCAACAAAATTTTAGTATGTATTTTTTACTGTGTCTTTTCTATGTGTAGATACACAAATACTATTGTGCTCCAATTTCCTACAGTATAGTAACATGCTGTACAGGCGTGTAGCCTATGAGTAAGGGACTATGCCACATAGCCCAGGAAGTAATAGGCTATATCATCTGGGTTTTTTAACTCTATGATGTTCGCACAACCATGAAGTCATCTAATGGTGAATTTCTCAGAATGTATCCCTGTTGTTAAGCTATGTACGGCTGTATTTGAACTTAGCTTTAGTAGGATTTGGGGACAGAAAACACATTTCAGATGGAGCAACCACTTGACAAAGTTCTGGTACCTCATTTTCCCTCAGTTGGAATAACTTCAGTAAGTTGGAGAATCCAGAGTAGAGCTTCTAGGTTCAGAAACAAAGAGCCAGCCTGGGAGAGGTGGTCAAGGAACAGTGAGTTTGGGCTGCCCTCATTCCTCCCCCTTTCCTACCAGAAGACCCCCAGGCTGACTCCTCAGTCTCACTCCTTCCCCACTTGGAAGCCAAGATCCGTCAGACACACAGCCTCGCGCACCTCCTCACCAAATATGCTGAGCAGCTGCTCCAGGAATATGTGAGTGGGTACGGGGGTGGGATGCCAGGGGCCTGGGGAATGGGGAAGCACATATCTCACAGAAGTTCTCAACCATCCATCTTCTCAATCTCATTTCCTAACTGCGGAAATCAGAGCTCCTGAGAGGGACAGTAGTTTGCTCCTGGTCACACAGCAAATTGGAGGAGGACCCTATATGTAACCCAAATGCCATTCTGTCTTCTCAGCTTGAGGGCTTCCTCCCTCGTGCTGTAAGTCAGAAGCAGCCTGGAGGAGTGAAGAGAACTCTAATCTGGGAGTCAGGAAACCTAGGCTTTAGTCGCTGTGTGATCTTGTCACCTCACCTCCATGGGCCTTGGTCTTTCCCCAGCTGTAAAAGGAGGCAGCCAAACACAATGAACGGTGAACTCTTCTACCCGGGATATTCAGAGAGATCAAGAAGAGGTTTCAGTCTAGTGTAACAATTCTGTCCCAAGAGGGGACTTTTACAGAAGAGGGTGATCTACATCTTGTTTGGGAAGAGGGCCTTGCCCAAGTAAAGAAGATATTGTCCCTATATTACCCTGGTGTAGTGGAGGAAGGGTATAGTTTTGAATCAGACAGACTATAGGCCTAACTTGCTAACTGTAACCTTGGGCAATAATGATAGCATTAAAAATAATGTCACAATTACAACAGTGGATACTGGTATAATAGAATTAACTCTGTAGTCCTACTAACTCTGGCTCAGATTCCAGCTCTGCCACTTTCTAGATGGATAACTTGGGGCAAGTCACTGTATTGTATTGCTTCAGTCTCATGTTTTTCATTTCCAACCACCATTATCGTTATCATCAGAGTCATTACTGGGGAGATTAGAAATAGTGTGTTTAAAGCAGCAAACACAATGCCTGAACCAGTGACAAGATGTTTGCAAAGGATTTTATACATTTGTAAGTTTTATAAGTTAGAAATCACCTTTCTATTTCTTCTGCTCATTCCTGTGACAGTGATTCATTGAGCTCCTGCTCAGTGCAAGGCACAGAGGTTGGGGAGAATAAGGGGAGGCAGTGAAACCCTCTGGGCGCCTGCACTATCTTACATGATTCTCAGGAGGCTCCTGGAGGGAGACAGGATAGGAGACTGCTCTCGTATTTTACAGATGAGCAGACTGAGGCTCAGAGAAGGGAAATGGTTTTGCCTGAAACTGCACAGCGGGAAGTGGTAGAGATGGGATCTGAACTCAGGTCTGTAACATACAGTTAATAAAAGAGTTCACATTTATTGAGCGCCTCCTGGGGGCCAGGTCCTGTCCCGAACACTGCCATGCTCAGAACTACCTTATGAAGCTGGCTCCAACCTAGAGAGGAGGAAACACGGACACTGGTGTAAAGCCCACGTGGCCTTGCTTTTATCCGAAACAGAGCGGCCCTGTCAAGAGGGATTTATCCCTCGCAAGATGAGGAGGCCGAGGCCCGGGAGAGGGGTGGAGGGCTCAGTCGACGGCGGACGCGTCCTCGCCCCCTCCCGGGAGCCCCGCTGACCCGCCGGCCGTGTCCCCGCAGGTGCAGCACCAGGGAGACCCCTTCGGGCTGCCGGGC